CGATGCCAATCCCAGCCGCAAGCGATGATGAAATTCTCGCTTGCAACTTTCATCAGATAACTGAGACCAGGCCACTTTAGGTTGGAATGGGGTCCTGGGTGTACACCCACCACCGGAGTGGAAGAATGGCAGGCGCATCTTACAGATGACTAGTCGATGGTCAGAGGGCAGATCAGCTCCACGGTAGGTCCTGGTGTCAAGGACATGGGCTCGCATTCGCTGGTCCGTCACTATGTAGTCCAGCAGATGTTCTTGCTTGGACCCGGCATGCATCCATGATGTTGTGTGGATGCGCCGATGCCGGAACAGCGTGTTGGTAATTACAAGCCCATGGGCTGCACAAAAATCTAGCAGCCTCCTACCGTTGTTATTGAGCTGATCTGGCCCATGCCCTCCAATCACTCCAGACCAGGTGCCAGTATCATGACCAACTCGGGCATTGAAGTCACCCAACATGATGACTCTATCCCGAGGGGCCACTTTAGCCAGCACCTGTGACAGGAGGTCATAGAAGGCATCGGACTCATCAGCTTTGCCTGCATCCCTCCACGGATGTTCATCTTCGGTGGGGGCATAAGTAACCACGACCACCATTCCTCGCCTCCGGTTGATGGGAAGGCGAGCCCAAAGTAGCCTGGGGCTTACAGCTTCCCACACCTCACCGCCATGCTCCCACGCCCCTTTCATTCTTTTGTTCAAAAGAAGACCCACACCCTGTTGTTTGGCAGTCTGCTGCCCCGAGTAGAGGACTGTCCACCCCTCATGGTGGCAGGAGCCAGAGCCGGTCCACCGGACCTCCTGAATGCCGCATAGATCCAGGCGGTACCGGTCCAGCTCCCGACAGAGGAGTGGCAGCCTCTCCTCTGCAGTGAGCGTTCGAACATTCCACGTGGCCACCCGTAGTGGCTTTTCGTTGTTTCTGGAGTAGCCCCGAGGGTAGGTATTCAATCTCCTGGCTCCGCCAATTGGGGTTTGGCCAGGAGACGTCATAGACGCCTGGCCCCCCGGGGCCTCCGGCACAAGCTTAGTTGTTACATATTTCAGTTTAATTCGTGGTTTCGTGGTAATTAATTGAAGGTGGAGGGGTTACCAGCCCCTCGCACCCGTCCAGAGCCCCCGTTTAGCCCCTGTGGTGGACACATATGCCATGAGGGGAGGAGCCAATCAAAATTGGACCTCCCCCCACAGCGCTGTCCACGACAGAGTTGCCCGTCCGGCACCGCGAGGAGGTAGGGGGTTGTTTTGCCGGACACAC